TTTACTTATATTATCATTATTATATAGTGCCAATTCATAATAATTGTAAATTTATCCTAAATCAAGCAAGTGAAACGGTGAAGACAAGACCATGCCGAGGGTTTTGATGAAATTGCAGGGTTACGTGTAATGAAAAAAAAAAAGTATTTTAGGAGAAACTCTATGAATAAAAAAAAACTTAGGTTAAGTCATTTGGAGATGGAGGATGCAAAAGAGATTCCCTAGCATGCTACAATATGCACTTTAGAAGCTGTAGATTATAATATATATATATTCCAAAGTTTGTTTATATTCTTTCGTGTTCTCAAAAGGTTCTAAATTATAAAGAAGATAGAGTTAAAAGTATTCAGAAAAGTTCAAAATCGATCAGTATTTCTTTATTCTAGCATTAACCCTTAAATTTCATCAATTAATGTGACAATCTCCTATGTCTTCAAGTTAGCATAACAATACTATGTTTATAATCAAAGCGTTTACGAACATACACTGGTTACTTTTTTGATATTTTTTATAATTATAAATATTAAGTACATTTTTGCATAGATTGTGCCATTTTGATATAAATGTATAATTGAAGTTGTACTTGAATGAAATAAAAAGTTGTAATAATATATTTATAAGCCTTGCATTAATATCGCGCTACTTGAGTCGCGCCCAAAATATTTTCCGAATAGGTATTATTTATTTTTTAACAATTCTGATTAATTTATGTGGAGCTTATAACAAAATTATACAACTTTTATACTATGCAGAAAAAAATTATGCATATATCAATAATTAGAATAAAAATAAATAATACCTCTTTTACAGATACCTTACAATTTGGAAAAACGACGTGGCGTAGTTGCAAAACTTTTCGCGTCAGATTCACGAGCTAAAACAGATGACGGAACTTTTGTGGCAATACCAAAGCGTTATCGTAAAATTGAGGTCAAGTATTCACGAATCGGTTACGATGAATTCGATTTTGATCAATACAATCGGACCAATTTTTGCGGTCTCGAAGCTACACTTCCAAATAGTTATTGTAATGCGATGTTACAGGTAAGTGTGAAAAATAATTTCTAATATTTGTATTATTATGACTAATACACGTATGTAATATCTTCGTTATAATTACAGTTATTTTATTTTTGTGAACCTGTAAGAGTTGCATTACTTTCACATTCATGCCAAAGAGAATTTTGTTTGTCGTGTGAACTGGGATTCCTTTTTCACATGTTGGATACATCACGTGGATTACCCTGTCAAGCAGCCAACTTTCTTAGGGCTTTCAGAACTGTCCCAGAGGCAGCAGCTTTAGGTCTTATTTTAAGTGACTTGCATCCAGAGGCCAAAAGGAAAACAAGTTTAGTCAGATTAATCCAGGTATTTATACAGCATGCAGATATTTTTTCATCTACAGTTAAACGTAATACGAAAAGATGTTGACAGTATTTTCAAAATCTTCTTTTAGAGTTGGAATCGATTCATTCTTCATCAGATACACTACGAAATTCTAGAAACTAGAAAACGCCAGCAGGAAAAAAAAGAAGCGGTACGTTTGAAATCGGGACCTAAATGTGCACCATTTGTTTATAATGAACAAGATTTCCCAAGCATTTTACAGGATCTCGGTTCTCGATATAAAAGTCATGATAAAGAAAGGAAGAAAAGGAGAAAGCAAGAGGAGGATGGTAAATATATGTGGATAAGATCGAAAGGTAAACACAATTTATGTGTATCCTTAGCACTGGGCACTTTTTGTGTTTATTTTTCAGCCTGTATGTAATCATATTTTATATTCTGCTTAAAATATTCAATAGAATTCCATATATAGCCATTAAATACAAAAAAAGACAATACGTTAGAACATGTATTATTGGGATGCATTATCAAAAATGAGTAATTAGGAAGCACACTTATATAAAAAGTTTATCATTTAATTAATGAAATTCAGAACAGTTAAATGTTTTATTATCAACCGAATTTTAACTTAACTTCTTACTTATATTTTATGATATTCCATCAAACTCTATTAAATATTTTAAACAGGCTTGTTCGAAGGCTGCAGGGCTATATCCGTAAGATGACAAGAGGGAACTGGAAACATACGGTATTCTACTATATTTTGTTTTATGATGTACTACTACCACAGTGGCACAAGAATCTTTATTATTTTATAGTTTCCATCTTGATAGAATTTTTAGGATCTTTTTGTACTCTTGCATTTTTTGGATATTGCATCTGAAGCTTTTTAATCAAACGTATTTTAATAATATGTCGGACCCGCAATTTTACCTTAACATTGCTCTAGATGTTCAGCAATGCATTGCATTGTTTGTTCGAGTGCTTTTTATATGATTTATTTTTAATAGATCGCAATGTTACAAAAATGCACGTTTATGCCTTTTGCACACTTGTAAATGAGTAAGTTTGTAGTTAAATAGAAAATACATTTATATATCAACGATTTTTATTATTTTATATTACAAGTAGATCAAGGTAATAAAAAGTCTCCTGAAGAAAATGAAGTGCGAGATGAGGAAACGGAAATCAGTCGGCTATTTGGATCTGAACAAATGCACATACATCGTTGTCAGAAATGTGGACAAGAAGCTACTAAACATTCTATCATGTTACTATGTAATTTAGTGTACCCTGAAATAGTCAATCCATGTAAGAACTTATCTAATAATTATATTTTTGTATACATTAAGTTTATATATTAAATTATTAAAACGATGTAATATACACCTAACCTTTTGTTTCTTGTAGCAGAAGAGATTCCATTTACAAACATACTGGAACGAAGCTTGAGACCAGAAAAAATCACTCCTGCATGGTGCGACGAATGTCAAAAGTTTACACCTACTCTTCAATCTCGACAATTGACCAAGTTACCTCAAATATTGGCCTTAAATTGTGGTTTAGATACGCAGCAGGTCAAATATTTTTTAATATAACATAGCATATATATATATATATATATATATATATATATGCTATTGGGCTTTATTAAATTAAAGAATATTATGTATAAATGATAATTGATTTTAGGACAAAGCTTTTTGGCAAAATCAAATGGATATCGTCGTCCGGAAAGTTTTGAATAATAAGGAAGCTAGTCCTTCATCCAGTCCTGTTCCAATTACTGTTAAACCATGTCGATATGGTAGCAATTGTACCAGAGTTGGTTGTAGATTCAGGCACATTGGACGAGATTCAGGTAAGGTCATAAATAACATTTCATAGAATCTATTATAATTTTATCAAAATATATTGGAATATATTTAAATAATATTTTAAATAGAAACATTGACGGTATCACCTGCTACACCTCTTTCAAATATAACTACCACGACTACTTCAACACCTCCGAGTCATCTGTATTATTCACATTCATGGATTCCTCATAATATTAAAATTTCTATAAATGAAAACGGCGTATTGTCAGTTGAAAAAATAACTTCACCAAAGATCGATGATAGTAATGCAACTGTACTAGAAAATGGACAAGATGATAGCAATACGCAAAAAACTTCTAATACCATAGAAATAATTCAAGATAAAAATGAAAGTGAAAATGCAGAGACAGAAAAGAAGATTGAAGAACAAACAACTAGCTTGACGAGTAAAGCTCAATACAGCCTTAGCGCGGTTGTGTGTTATGTGGATGATAAAAATAACGAAGAAAGAAGAAACCTTGTCGCGTTATTACGTGTTGATCCTAACTATCATAAACGATCAACAGGTAGTGCGGTATCTCAATGGTATATTTTCAACGACTTCTGGCAAGTAATATTATAAATAATAAATATTCACTAATAACGTGTGTATATAAAACACGTCTGACCAATATTTTTGATTACAGTATATCTCCAGTAACACCACAGGAAGCGGTTTGGTTTAATCTTGATTGGAAAGTACCATGTGTTCTTCATTATACAATAATTCCAACACCAGAACCATCGACATATGTAAGTCCACTTACTTATGATGTCTTTGGTGAGGACAAATGCATTGCACGTAGTGGAGGAACAACAGGTATTACGTTCACACCTCTTTCGTCGGATGAAATGCCCAAGAAAGGTACGATTTGCGAATAAATAAAATAATGAAGAATAGAACGATTGTTCTCACAAGACCATTTATATTATTTTAGGAGAACTAGTAGGAATCGATGCCGAATTTGTTACTTTAAATCAAGAGGAGTCAGAACTTCGAAGCGATGGAAAAATGTCTACAATTAAACCGAGTCATATGTCTGTTGCGAGGATTACTTGTATACGAGGGTATACTTAATTAAATATTGAATCGTATATCTTATAAATATTAACTTATCTTTTATATCTAAGTAAGTTTTTTTTTTTTTTTTAATTTGTAGACAAGGTCCTCTCGAAGGCACACCCTTTATTGATGATTACATTAGCACACAAGAACAAGTGGTTGACTATCTTACGAAATTCAGTGGAATTCAACCGGGTGATTTGGATGCCAATTTCAGTAGTAAACATCTTACAACGCTCAAGTCGACCTATCAAAAATTAAGATTTTTAGTGGATAATGGTATTATATTCGTCGGTCATGGATTAAAAAATGACTTTAGGTATTTATCAATTAATTTGTTTCCTTACAATTATAATTATAGTTTCTAATATATTTATCTTTTATGACAATTTTTTTATTTTTATTTTGGTGATAGGGTAATTAATTTGGTCGTGCCTCCAGAGCAAATAGTAGATACAGTATGGCTGTTTCATCTACCTCATCATCGTATGGTATCGTTACGATTTCTAACGTGGCATTTCTTAGGTAAAACAATACAATCTGAAACACACGATTCTACGGAAGATTCACGAGCTGCTCTGGAGTTATATCGTAAGTACAAAGAACTGGAAAGTTCAGGAAAATTAGCAGATAACCTCAAAGAACTTTATACCGTAGGGACCCAATTACAATGGAAAGTTAGTATTTTACTCGTAATAATATTTATAATTTATGTATTCATTTACTAATTACTAAAAACCGTTAATCATTGCAGGTACCAGATAGCTGATATGAGGTTAGTAAGTGTAACAATGAAACTGAGAACATTGAATTAGAAAACGATAATGAGGTCCAAGTGATAAATGCATTTGAGTGTATAATAGGCCAAGTAAATAGTTCAAAAATTAATTCGTCTGACAAACTTTAAATTTAAAAACGTTGATTAATCCAATTAAGTTCTTTTCTTTTTTACTTTTTCTTTTTTACGGCGATAAAACGTTCTATCTATTACATATGTACAAAAATTAATTTTATAACGGAAGAGAATATGAACAATTTTCGAGGATAAAAACGATTAATATGGAAATTAAAATTACGGGTAAAACATGTTAATAATTTGTTTAAAAAAAATTAGGTAAAAAAAAAGAAAAAAAAAATAAGAGCTTACTTTAATCTAAACCAAGTCAGAAATTTGTCGTTTATCATGATTCGTTATCAAAATATATCGGAATTCTTGTTACATCGAAATTCATTATAAATTATAGAGAACATTTCATGAAACAAGTAGGTGAATTAATATAACGAAATTTCTTGTTAATTAAAATTCAGAAACATGGTATCTAAATTGTTAATAATCAATAGTGAGAATTGTACATAATGTTCCATAGCATATTAGCATATCGAAGATCAGAAATTGTTTTTCACGCTGTTCCATTTGTTCGACGTTTCCTTTTATTTTATTTTTTTTTTTTTTTCATATTTTAACAATTTCGACAATATCGTTAATTATATTAATACGAAACGAACTTTTTAATAATGTGTGTGTATAGAAATAGTAATCGGTATCATGGCAATATTTTACCGTGACAAAATAACATGTACACGATCGTAATCATTTCCTTGTATATGTACGCTCTATCGGGACATAATGATACTTTTTTATCCTCTTTGGATACAATAATTAATGTATTTTTTTATAATCTTTACTTTTCCCGATGAATTTTAGTTATTTCGTAACGATCATGAGCGTCTTTATTTATTCTCGACGATTATCAAAGTGTCGTCAATCTAATAACTCTATCTTTTTATACGAAACTTTCGAAACGCTAACACATTCAGGATATAGTGATATATTTTACAAAAAAGAAAAGAATAAAAAAAAAAAAGAAAGGAAGAAAAAATAAAACAAATAATTGTACTCATTATAAGTTATTTTTGTATACATTTTATCAATGAAAAGAAAATATTAAAAATAAAGTCAAAGTCTATTGCAAATATTGTCTCCCATTTGAACGCGAATGACGTTATGAATGAATAAATAAATACATTTTTATAATATAAATCAATTCTAACGTAATATTTGATACGACATTTTTCCAAAGTCTTGTTCACAGATTAAGATGATCGTGTTGAATAAAAAGATCGAGAAGACAAATGATCGAATCTTCGTGCTAGATCATTATAATAATATTTGTAAGTATTTACTTAAGTAGTTTACTTAATTAATACATACATCATTTTCTCTTACAACATAATATTTTTAATTACTATATATATATATTTTATATTTTTATATAAACTTTCTCTTATGTGTCACATAAGACCTTTTAAATTAGATTATAAATTTAGTACGCAATCAGTGACGACAAAAAAAAATAACAGCATTTAATTAATATTAATATCATTATATATTTTTTCTTTAATGTTACGGATTAATGTTGTATTTACAAAATTATTTTCTGTGTTTTTTTTTTTTTATCGGTTGCTGATTTTATCCATTTCAGTCAAACGATGTGCGTTAAAACTTACTTTCCGTACGTAAGTATATAATAACATAATTAATAATTTACAAAATTATACACACACCTGGGGCATGGCTGCAGCCCTTCTCATATGTTAATGACGCTCTGTTATATGTTACTTGGTATACATACATAGATATATAAATTTAATAAATAATATGAAAAATTAGCGTACTGCCAAGCCTGCTTTCCAGATGTAACGAGGAGCCCAAACATAAGCGTTGTTGATCGTAGAAGCAAATGAGATCCTTCGAAAGGTAAACTCTTTTACGCGAATGGTTTGGAAAGTTTTGAACCTAACATGAAGATCTTTTTTTTTGGTCTAACTCACTTTTGCAATCCACCCTCGTACATTTGTTTCTTTCTTTCCTCTCGCTTCTTAATATTTATCTGATCTTACTTATTTATATGATGTGTTTCTTTGTAATAAAATAAAGAATAGAAAAGAAACAAAATAAAATAAAATAAATACAGAGGCAGTTTCGTAGGTCGAGCAAGAAAATAAAAAGAAAGGAAAGGTAAGATGAAACTTTGAATTTCTCTCGCTTCTGATGACCCGTAAGGTATGGCTTCAAAGTAATTAAGTTACACGTAAAAAGAAAACATCTCCTGACTAGAAACTTGCGTGATCGAGCTGCTGCAGGAGCTGGAAGGAGTATTAAGTGGCAGTATTGCTGTGTATGAACGACAACAAATCTCACGGCATTATTATATCGTTCTATTCATCAGCCGTTTATACGTTTGTCTCAAGACAATTAAATCCACTAGATTCATTTTCTCCTCCTTTAGCTGGACATCGAGAACGTTAAGGCACTTATTTCATGATTTCCAATGCACGATCGAAACGTGGAAAAAAAGATTCGATCGAAGAGAGAAAAAGAGAGGGCAAGAGAGAGAGGGAGGGAGGGGGAGGGAGAGAGAGAGAGAGAGAGAGCGAGAAAAGTTTGAAGACTCTCTCTCTGTTAGGAGAGGTGCCACATTTTTAAAGGTGTTCTTCACCTTGTTGGAAGTGACCATTCCTGTTCAAGGGTTGCCTCTCGGGTGCATCGGAAGGTCGATTTCTTTTGAAGAACCCACACTGTTAACAGAGATCAGATATATTGTGATAAATATCATAAAGTATTTCTATAGAATAAAATTATAATGAATTAATATTAATTTCTTATGTCTTGTTCTAAAGTATTGTATTCTTTGGAGTTACTTTAAACTTACCTTATGAAGTAGGTAGATGAGAAGTAGTAAGATTATCGTTCCGGCGCACGCCGACAAAACTACTATCCAAAGTGGAATGACATCTGGAGAGGACGGAACAGCGGTCGGTTCGATGTTCGTATAAATTTCTTGACTTTTCACCACTTGTTCAACTGGCGTACCGATAAAGGGTTGCTTTGTAACACGTGCAACTAATTGACTGGAGACCTTAATTTTTTCTTGAAACGCAAGTTTCTTCAAAGTTCTGATATTAACGAGATACCTCGCTGCGATAGTTATCTCTTGATCCTTTTTCAAAGGACCAAGGACGCAACGTAGTATGACACATTTTGTGGTATTACAAGGATTCGGATGTCGAATGATAGGATTAATTTCATCCGTGGAAATATTATCGTCGATTTGTCGACGATGTCTATTATTCATTTCTTCGAATTTTCTAAACTCGGCTACGCTCAATGCATCGTCATTCTCTCGCCTAAATCTTGAATTGAGATGATTTGGATCAATCTCAGCAACGAGATCGAAACGATTTCTACCATAGACTCTGGTATCGACTTGTCTATCCTCCATTCGTTTGTGTTCGTCAACGTGCGAGCTAAATCGGCTTTCGTAATCTTTATCTACATTGGATCCTGTTTGTTGGAATCTGCCAGAAGATTTGATAGCTGGAGTACCACCTATAGCGTAAGTACGTTCTTCCGTATAAGTGTAAGATCCTTGTAAAGGAAATCTGCGACCATCTTTCAATACGATATATCCTTTCCTATCCTGCCCAATCAAAAGCTGACCTTCTATTCTCAAAAATCGGCTATCTTGTGGTTCGATTGATTCAGAACTATAACTTTGTACGCCTCTTTTATCCTGTAGAGGGAACATCGAACCATCCTGGAATTCTATGTATTCTTTCCTATCGGCGGATGTTCTAAATCGTCCCATAAACTGAACATATTGTTTTCCCTGCCTACTGTATGATTGATAACCAGTCGCTTCTTTCGACAAGGATCCAAGAACTTTCTCTAGTTCTTGAGTAGAGCTAACGTTTCGCAAACGGAATTCTATTTCACTGCTACCAACAACATGCTCTCTATCACCAGTTATGAATTCCGTTTGTCTTTCTGTATCACGATTTTCCAAAATATCGTCATAAGTCTTTTCCTCATCGTAATCATACTCTTCTTCTTTTCCTTCCTTTTGTCTTAATTGTTCTTCCTCTCTCATACGTTCTTGCTCCCTCATACGACGTTCTTCCTCCTGTCGTATTTGCGAGAGCAAACCTTCATATTTTTGTCGTCGAGACAAACGTTCTTCCTCCGCTATTCTTTGACGTTTTATTTCATCCAAACGTCTCTCCTCTTGTATCCTTCTCAAACGCAATTCTTCCTCGATTCTCGACATTTTTTCCTCCTGATGGCGACGTTCTGCTTCTTGTTTTCTCATATATTCTTCATGCGGTCTTATATTTTCACTTTCATCGACACGCACCGTCGGAGTACGCATTGAAGAAAATGAACTTTCTTGATTTCCATAAGCAATCCTATCACCTTCCTTCCAACGACTTTCAATAATTCTACTGTAATTTGAATGTCCATTACGTGATGTATCCAAATTTGATAAATTCGGATCGAAATGATTTCCTTGAACTGTCGTATGTAATCCACTTCCTATATTCGTTGAGCTACCACCATAACCATCGGAGTCTGAATGGAAAATAATTCCCCTGTTAACACCAGATATTCCATCGGATGTACTACCACCACCAACACTACTACTACTACTACTACTACTACTACTACTACTCGTCACACCAGAACTGTTTTGCGTATAAGTGGTGGTTATTACACCGGGTTGTTCTCCACTAGATGTAAGTTGTATCCTTCTGGTTTCGCTGTTAATGACGTTCGTAGAGGACGACGAAGAGTGTCGTGATTTTTGAATGTCCGAACTGTCCCCACTGTTTACGTCACTCTCTTCCTTGCGATTCGATTTATTATTACTTTGCATCGTTTCAAAACCTCTTTGTACGTTGATCGTCTTGCCTGAATGCGACTCGTCCAAAATGACGCCAGACGGATCAGGATAATTTTGCAATGGCCTTTTTCGTTGCTCAAGCTAAAAAAAAAACCAAAATGAAAAGGTAAATATAATATAACGCTAAATTATTAACACAATTTGTCGATGTTATTATTTACCTGGAGGCTAAGGTAATTAGCATTCGCCGTTTCGCAAGCAATCGATCCAGTCGTTTCCGGTTGCTCAATCAAATACAACAATTCTTCACCAGCAAGAGTTTGAGCTGGCCATATAAGAAATGCTTCTGCTTCAAGTATATCCGATGGTCCCTGATTATATACAATATAATTGTGAATGACCGCTGGTCCAAATTCCGATTCAGTCGTAACGTTCGTTCCGGTGTAATTGTAAGGATTGTAATAGATCTCTTTAGGTCGACTTTCACCTTCCACGAGTAATTCCGTTTCGATCCAAATCGGTAAGGATAAGTGCCAACTATTGTCGCCGGTGGTCGTATCATTTTCAGGATTGGTTGTATTTACTTCCATATAAAATTCGTAGGACGGTGCCATACTGCTAGATGTAACAGGTTGCAAGAGTACTTTGAAATTGACCAATTGTGTTTGAGGTAAAGGATTGCCGATATCGCAACGCAAAGTATTGTTGTTCGATTGTTTAGGTGCCGAACATTGTACGGGTACTTCGGTTTTATCGATTCTCTCGATTTTAATATAATCGATACCAGCGGGCAATTGGATATTGTAAGTCGCTTCGAACGCATCCTCGCCGTTGTTTATCACCAAAATTTCGAGTTCCAATTTCTTTCCAGATCCTAGAAGGTATCGTCCGACGTTTGGTTTCACGCTGAGCCGTAGATCTGGTATGCAAACGTTGTCAGGACCACAGTTCTTTCTAATCGATAATGAATCCTTTTTGGACATGGTAGCACCGATAACAGGTCTCAACGAAATCCTAGGATCTCGTGGACGATTATCGGGTAAATGATCGTCTTTCAAACTTATACGTAACTCCGCTTCCAACGATGTCAACTTATCACGGATATTAGGTGTCACGTAAACCTAAACGATAGATAATCATGTTAAATACAAGCGAATTTCATACGTATGATAAGAAAATGAAATAGGATTAAATTAGAGATTAACCTGCACTGTACGACATAGTTGTTGATTTCGTTCGATCGTGATCGTTTTATTTATCATATTTTTATTCTCATCTTCGATAAAAAACAATCGGGGTGCCTTTGTTTTCTTAACGTCAACGACATATTGAACATTAAATACGTATTTCGATAAGACACCATCACCGCTGTATTTGAAGCATCCCCTCAATGGTAAAGATGTTACTCTGGTACCATCGGAGAGAGTATAATTCTTATCATCCAAAGATATCAGTTTAGATTCCGTTTCAAAAGTCACGAAAGAATCCATTTTGATGACTGGACGAGCTCTGAAGAAGAATGCTGAGCTGGATTCGTAAGCTCCAACGACCAAATCTGGATAATGATTGCCATCGAGATCCAAACTACCGGCTACAGAAAATCCGAAGGTTTCAATTGGGACGTTCAATTCTTCCGCCTGGATAACTTGTGAATATTTCTCTGAAACACCATTTCTCGATCCGCGATAAACATAAACAGCACCTCGACCATTCAATCCAGCGTAAGGAGCACCCACGGCGAAATCGCCATAACCATCATGGTCAATATCCCCCAGAAATGCCAGTGACAAACCGAAACGCCCGCGATTACTCTCTCCATCTCTGGAAAAATGAGATAAAAAGTTTATCGTGAAAGTTCAGCGAACATTAACGAGATTTCGGAATTCTCGGAATTTGTCTCTTGATAATTGTTTCTACTATTTATAAAAGTGAAACTAGAATGTATAATCTAACAAGATTAGAAATATATTGAATAATATATATTTCTTTTTGTTTTGTTTATTTTTTCAATTATACCTGCTGTCAACTTTTCGGAACTTTTCAAGACCTCTTCCTTGATAGATAACATAGATCCTTCCAGTTTCGATGTACATTTCTGGATTATCTGGAATAGTATACATAGGTGCTCCAACTATTAGATCGTCCAAATTGTCACCATCAATGTCACCAGCTGCAACGGCGTAACCGAAGTAAGCACCCATTTGTTCACCAGTGACGTTCTGATGATTAGTCATATTGGAAGTGAACAGTACGACCTAGAACAAAGAAGATTAGAATATATACAAGATGTCCTACTTAAATTGTTAGAATAATATGGAAGTACATGGTACAGATTATTTTTTTTCAAGATAATTTTTTTTTCATATACCATCAGTATAATAATATAATGAAACATAAGTCATATTTATTACTATATTATAATATATATAGAATAAATTGATTCAATTTGACAGTCAAGATTTGGGATTTGACTTATCATATCTTAAGCAACAATTAAAATTCTATTCACCCTTACAAATCACGTGATCCCTATGATTCCGAACGACATGCCATTCGACTTTAAATGGTTACAATTTTCAGTGCTGCTTGCATTTGCAATGACGATAAATAAATCGCAAGGACAGTCGTTAAGTGTTTGTGGCATCAATCTTAAAAATTCACGTTTTTCACATGGCCAATTATACGTCGCCTATTCCCGTGTCGGACAACCATCAACATTATTTAGTTACGTGCCAGAAAACTAACAATGTGTCTATCAAAAAGAGCATTACAATAAACAATATGTTTTTGAAATAATTTTGGAAGTTATTATTTATTCATGTTCGAATTGAATATTCACAGCTAAGAGAGGACAATGTCTGTCGGGTCACCTAATAAGAAATATCTTTTTGCGAAGAAGAAAAAAGAAAAGCAATATCGCAGAGATGAAAAAAGATTCCTTGTAAAAGGAATGACGATTAGGCTAGGTAGGTGTATTTATCGTTGGTTAGCAGTAAGGTCAGAGTATATCTTACCTTGCCACGAAGACCAGATCCTCTGGGTACACCAACAGCCGTGCCACTGTCTCCGTTTCCAACGAAGTCTCCCGTGGCGACCGAGTACCCCATGTAACTGTCGTCTTCGCTTGCCGGAGCTTCCTTTGTGAACATCACTTTGGCGCGATTATTCAACGGCTGCGAAAATACTTGGCCTGAAAAGCGAATTGTATGGTATGTTTAAAAAACGAAACATTTCTAACGGTGATTAACGATCTCTCTCTCTCTCTCTCTCTCTCTCTCAAGTGGGTGCTTGTTCATGTACGTATATCTTTCACGATTCCTTATTTACTATATCTATATATTATTATTCTTTATTTATTTAACGACAATATTTTTAACTTATTTAGTATTTCTCTCGTCCAAAAATTACAATTTTTAATGATGAAATTTAACAGGGAACTTGGACATGAAAGAAGTAGAACTATGTTTGATTTAGTTGGACGTTTCGTCCCTTTATTGGGACTTCTTCAGCAACTAGAAATTTTATTTTATTATTATTT